GATCTCTTTCGCTGATAGATTTTCTTTCGATGACAGGAACTCAGACCGTTGTCAAACTTTTAGTTGCTGTTGGTGTCGGTTGGCTATCGTTCATCTCTTCATAACTAGTCATTGGCTCATCAATGATTTTTTGTTCAGTCCAGATTCGCAGTATGCGCGACCTTTTGACCATATTTAGTCCTACCAAACTAGATTTAGCGGCTCCTTTTGGTATCAAAACATCATATTTTCGGTTCACTATCAACGCTATTGGATCCACTTCTGGATAATTCTTGTCCGTCACACTGTCAGACAGTGTTGACTCCATCTATTCCGATAATGTTTTTACTAAAAAAAACATTCACTTAATTAAAATTTAAATCGAACTATAATTACAATAATAACAGTAAATTGTCTTACATTTAAAAAAAACATTATAAGTCAACTATAACTGCGCAGTAAATTATAACTATTGTTTGTTTTCTGCATTCCAATTGGCTAACCATAGTATATATACTATATTTATTGCTACTCTCAACTCAGAGCCATCTAGGAGATTGACGTACACTCATTCGACCTAACAGTTAGATAATAAAATACTTGTCAACCATTGAGCTTGTACGCCATCATCACTGGCATCTATCATCATAAACAGTGCAATTTTAGTTTTATACACTATAATAGATGTCACTCCAATCGTTAGAAACTTTATTTCAACAAAACTGTTTTTGACAAACTTTTTGTAAATTTTATTTTTACTATCAGTACTAATAGTTCTCTGATCCCCTGTCCGAATCTATGTCCCTCTGGCGTCTCTTACACTGCATCAGTAGTTTATAGCCAATTTCCAGGTGTCGCTACTGTATCAAGACACTAAATTTCTTTATTTCCAAAATCTACTAAAGTTTTCGAGATTTTTTTGTACTTATTCCCTGAGCCCAGGCTTGAGCGCCAACTATACTCGATGCTGATTGGCTAAAGCTACACTATTCACAAACATAGTCCTTATATTATGTTACATTGCCATAGTTACATCTTACAAACACCATAGATTTATACAGATTTTTTCTAGTGAACTATAACATTAAGTTTAATTTAATTATGTTAATTATTAATTGTTTTTGAATAACAGTGTATTTTAGACAAATCATATAGTATATTTTTAAAAATATTTTTATCTTTGAAACAATTAAAATTATCTTTAATGTTATATCATATAAAAATAATAACTAATTAATTAATACATAAAAGGTTTATTGATTTCAAGTGTTGTTTTAAGACAATGTTTATAAAATAAAATTAATCATTTTAAAAATAATAAATATATATTCATTAGGGTTAAGTCAAGGGAGGTATTACACCCCCTAAGATGTGGATTTTACCCCAAATTTTTTGACCAAATGGGAAAAATAGCCATTAAATGGACGTGAAATGACCCCAAACAACCCCTATCCCTAAAATTTCTACGCCGAAGGCGTTTTCGAAGGCGAATAATATTTTAAGATAATTAATATAATAATAATAAATTACTCTTAAATTTAATTATTTTTACCTGCATTTTAGTCAGATTTATTTTTACTATTTATAATTTTTATAGATTTAAAAAAATATTCATAAAATTTAAGGAATTTATTGGGAATATATTCTTATTTTCTTAGGAATTTCCTCCATTTACATGAGAATTTTCTGGAATTTGCAATAAAAAAGTACACCCACTCTATAACCCCTAAAATTCAAAATCTTGCTTAACCCTKATATATATAAAACTATTATTAACAAAACTTTATAATAACATAATAAACTGTTATAAAACGTGTTTATCGGATGCATGTATAATAAAAAATAAAATAATTGAATAAAAATTTTATAAACAAGATACAGTATATCATTATGTTAAACATTTTTAGGTATTCATAATAAAAATACTAAATTATAAATGAAATTTAAAATAAATTAAATTTATATTAATTATTATTATTTAAAAAGTATTTATAAAAATAAGACAAAGCAGAGTATATTATATGAAAGTACAGTATTATTAATATATTGTATTTTTATACAATATTATACCAATACTTGTATACATTTGTATATACTGTACATTATGTACAATATATATGCAATTTCGTGATTTATAAACATTAGAATAACATTAATATTATTTATTATTATATAAAATATAACAATTTTATCTTAATATAAATGTATATTACTTCTATTGAATAAGTAATAGCAAATAATTTGAAATAAAATATTTTATGCCATTTGTAACCTTTTATCTTTTATGTCGTGCTCTTATATCTAATATTAAACAAAACATTTTTACACTTATTTGTCTCTCATTGAGTTACTTAATATTATTATTTAATATAAATAAATATATATTCATTTGTATAATATATATATAAACAAAAGTTATTTTTAATCCTTAATATCTTACTTTGAATATAATGTATATAAAATGTATAGTACTGTATGTATGTAGTACTGTATGTACAGTATATACTGTATGTGTGTTTGTATAGTGAGTAAGCAAAAAAAGAAAGAAAGAGAGAGAGAGAGAGAGAGAAGAAAGAAAGAGATTAAAAAGTTTTAAGGCATAGTTTGTGGCCATTATATTGTATTGAAATTCAGCATAAAATGTTAAAGAAAGCAATTTATTTCGTCAAAAAAGTGTCTTTGTTTTGTTGTCATATGAATACAAAATAAATGATAGAAATACTGTACATAATAAATAAAAAATATTACTTATATTCTAAATGTTTAGACTTAAAAAATTGAAATTACATTTTTCAGGTGTTTTGACAAATTTTTATTAGTAAAATAAAATAACTACAATATAATACTGTACAAATATATATATATATATATATATATTCAAAGTTTTACAAATATATTTAATATTTTATCAATTAAACTTTATAAAAATTATAATTTTTAGAATTTACATAAAAAAATATTATTTAGAAATTAATAATAAAATTACAATCGATTTATTTAAAAATCATATGATATGTTGTACAGTATTTTAAGTAATACAAATGATATTTCTTTTATATAAAAAATTAATTTTATGCAACATTTATTATTTAACCTTTTTAGAATTAATTTCACTTAATAAAAATATTTAATGATAATTTTCTTAATAACATTAACATTGAATGTACTATATTTTGGGGATTATTTTTTGGTGATAACAATTGAAATATTTGTTTTCAATTGAATTCATTTTCAATAGAAATTCATTAAATTCCTTTCATATTGAGCTACAAATAAGTGATGCGTTAGTTATTTGACTCACAATTGTAATACATTATGTTATTCAACAAATGTTATCTAAAAGAGTGATTTATAACAATAACTTCGTTAAAATAATTTTAATTATTTCTCTAAATAAATGTAAAAAAATTGGTCGATATGTAGTAAAATCAATAAAAATAATCGATAACTTATATTAAATTTATTATTATTATTATATTACAGTATAATAAAAATCATTTTTAAAAATTGTTATAAAATGAAAATTTTTCTTTTAATATTATAAATAAAAAACCTTTAAGCAATCATTGAGTGTATATTTCAAATAAAAAAGTTATTATTTTCATACAAATCTTAGACAAACCACTAAAAACACATTTTTTCAATTTTTAAAACTAATTTTGATTTGTCTTTTGGCTACACTTCTGGCAATAACTAAAACAATAACTAAAAAGAATAGATTTTCAGTAATTACAAGAACTTCGGAAAAAGTTAGAAATTAAAGACTTATTTGTTTGGTTTGTGCACCGGAATGGTTGTCCAAAATAGAGGAAAGGCATACAGTCTGTAGTGTAAAGGTTGTCCACAAAGAAAACAATGGTCACATATAAGATCATACAATCTAGTAGTCATACAATTGTTTTTATTTAATTTCATCGATTGTTCACCAGAAATGGTTAAATCTGATAATCCATTGATTTTTTTGCTTGTTTTTACAATCTGTGTCTTAAGACAACTTTTTCTGTTTTTTTGTATGGTTTTCAATGCTATAGTACAGTATATTTCCATAATATCTCAGACTTTCATACCATTCCGTGCCATACATTTCAATGCTATTTCAATTACAGTATTACTATTTATCTCTTTTTTCATTCATATATTCAGCAATATATTCAACGATAAGTTGTGAAAATTATTTATTTTTTAATACATATATAAATTATTTGATATGTTATCATTAATTTTATTTTTAAAATTTTATTTTTAATATTAAACAATATTTTATTTATGTGAACTACTCACACATAATGTAATTATAGAAATACTTTGAAATCCAGTATTTTACAACATTGATCGTAAAAATAAATAAATAAAATACAAGTCAGACATTATTATGTAGATATAATGTCAATAACCAGTCATTTAGTATTTTTAAATAGTCTAAAATTAATATAATGTTGTGAATGCTAAATAATAAACTTGTTTTAAATTAATATATTTAATAATATAAATATATATATATATATAAATCATAATTTAAGTATTTAATATATAGATAATAAAATTATATTCAAACGTTTGTCAATATCTAGATCTTTAGAGCTGAAGAAACGAAATAAGCAAACAAAAAATATTTTTATATAAATACAACTTTAAGTTTACAATAATCACAAATAAATTATTTTATACTATATTATATATATACCTTTTATATTTAAATTTATAATATTTCAAAAAATATATTTTTATTATTAATAAACTTATATTTAGATGTGTTGGTTAGTACTTATTTGTATCAAAACGTGAATTCATTTTGTATTCAATTGGATTTTTAAAATCTTTAAATTTTTTATAAATAATACATAAAATGTAACCAAAAAATTTGTGAAACATTCAACAAATTCAAAAAAATATATTAATAATACATTTTTGTTATACACCAATATTTTTATTTAATATTAAACTAGAAAACAATTTGCAATTCAATCAGACATATATTGAATGAATATATATTTAATATTTTCTAATATATATGCCAACAGATCCCGCAAATATCATATGCATCGACCAGTGCTGACTTGAGTGATAAGAGTCGGTTCGGTTATTTTAGCCGAACTGTCCCACCGGACAACTTCCAGGCACAGGCTATGGTCGACATTGTAAAGCTGTTCAACTGGTCATACGTGTCGACAATTGCTACAGAAGGTGATTACGGCGAGAAAGGTATCGAACACTTCAAAATATTGGCCAATCGGGAGGGCATATGTGTGGCCGAGTCGGCAAAAATATCACGTAATGCCAAACACTCGGACTTCTTGAGAATCATTGAACAATTGTCGAGTAAAGGCAACGCCAGAGTTGTTGTGCTATTTGTCGACGAAGATAATTGTCGGCGACTTTTGAGCGCTTCTCAAGAAATGGGAAGAGAGGGATACTTTCTGTGGTTAGGAAGTGATTCGTGGGGCAAAAAGATACATCCGGTCAAAGGTCAGTATCAATATATTTCTATTATTTAATTCAATCTATTAGAGATTGCTTTCTTTTGTTTGATCCTAACATTTAAAGGTCAAGAGGAGTCTGCGGGCGGAGCTATAACTATACTACCGAAACGTAAACCATTAAAAGGTATGTGTTTTTGTATGTTTGAGTGTACAATGAATTTCTCAAAACTGGTCACTCATTTGATATCACGACAAATGCTTATTTGCTTCAAACAACTCAAACACTACTTTCATAGAAAATCCATTCACTGATGCATTACTTATTGATTGTTAATCTCATGTATCATATGAGCTATACTTTTGTATCAAATATATAATATTATATACTGTATATATTATATAGATATAATGTATATCATAAACTATAAGCTAAGGCCCTATAATACTAAAGTATATATTATATAACTATTGACAAAACCAACTGCTGTGATGTCTATTAAAGATAAACCCAGTGGTTGTCAAGTAGTAGTAATTGGTTTATAAATTTTACGATTAATTTACTCAAACGTATTTCCAGATAAACTATTAATATTTTATTATATTAACATTAGATTTATTAGAAATTTAGTGATTTTCACTATATTTTTCATTACATTTAGATTAAAATTTGATTTTATGAATATAATATCGATAAATTATGAAAACATCCAAAACATGTTGTAGTGAACAGACCTAACCTTATTGTGTGCGGCAAATCATTTGTGATACAAATTGTATCGTAAAATACAATAGTAAGCAATCGTATCCATCATATATTGTATTGTATTGCCATAAATGTAAATAAAATTTATCATTTTCTAAGCAAATATTTCCCAATATTTGTTGATTTTGTTTATTGAATCTCTGATTGAGAAAAAAGATGAAACATACATGTAATACAAAATAAGTGCATATAATTTGCTGCAAAATAAAAAGTTTTTTTGTCTACTATAAAAATAAATTTATGTATTATATTATCAAAATTGTAAAGTAAATTTATTTAAAAATATATTTCTACTAGTTAAAATATTTTATTCAACAAAACAATTCAAGCGTTTTATTGTTTATAATAATAATAAATTGAAAATTTATAATATTATATATGCAGTAAAAATAATTCAAATATAGTACAGTAAATTTTTAAAATTATTGATTTAAGTTATGTCAATGTTTTATTTGTTAACCAAATCACACATTAAATATATGTAATATAATTAATCATTTGATGGTTTTATAGGTTTTGACGAGTATTTCAAGCGATTGCGTCCCTCAACCAATACCCGCAACCCGTGGTTTATGCCTTTCTGGGAACAACACTTCAATTGCACGTTTGCGTTGCACTCCCGACACAATGAGTTTGAAACAAAACGACTTAAAAGATGCACTGGTAGGTCATATTAGCATAACTACATCAATGAGCCCATAGTCTATACACTATCTTAGAAACAATATTGATTTTTTTTAAACCAAAACTTATTAAGATGCAATAAACTATTAAAAAATTTATAGTATTATTTATTTCAGTATTTTTTTTTTAATTGTAATATAAAAACATTTTAAATTTTAATTCAAGATTCTCTTGTATTAAGTAAAATGGAAATAATATAATAACAAAAATGTCATATTTTATTTTATATTATGTTTTAGGTGATGAAAAATTGTCTAAATATGAACAGGAAGGGTTGGTACCTTTTGTTGTTGATGCAGTCTATGCCGTGGCAAACGCAATACACAACTTATTAAACGACCGGTGCGGACGACACATACCTCACAAAGTCTGTCTCAAAGATGTCATCAAAGGTCCCGATTTATTGGCTTATATTCGTAACGTTTCGTTTAAAAGTAAGCCTCAAATTGAGATTTAAATTATAGAAGTAATAGTAGTCTATATAAGTTTGATAATTATTTTTTGTGTCAATAATTTTTAAGCAAAAATATATACAGTATATAACAACTTCGTAATAATAATAATAAAAATGAGAATATTATGTATATTCAAAATATTAAATTAATATTCTGAGTTTAACAACAAAAATAAAATGTAATTTTAACTTTAAATAGAGATATTAAATATTAGAAATAAGCCAAACAATAAAAAATAATATTCAATGATAAATAAGTATTGATTTTTTAGATTAAAAAATTATTCTCTTATTTTACTCCAGCGTCTTATATATTTATAGTTTAAATTTATATTGTCTATAAAGTAAACTAATTTGGTATAAATGTTAATAACATTTTCAAAAAAGTATGGGAAAGACAATAATATTTGATTTGAGTTTTGCAATTAAGTAATAAAATAATACAAAAAGTATGTACAGTAGATAGGAATTCATAACAACATATAACAACTACAACATAACCGTAAGCCCTAATACTTAAGGAATATTCCGGTTAACGTTGTTTTGTAATGTTATCTACACTTTCATTATCACAGACAATGAATTCAGTGATAACACAATTTACTGATTCTTATTGACTCCAAAATTCAATTTATTTAGTTTAGGCATTCATTTAGCCCTCAAATACCTAATTTCACATTCAACTCAAACATTGCCTCTTATTGTACCAAATAATTATCTGAAACAATGACATCACATTTTAATGGACAACATCAAACACACACACACATATACACACACTCACTCACTCACACTCACTCACACACACACTTGCACTAACTCTCACTTAACTATCATATAAAACGTTTTAATGTTATTCTTATTTGTTATAACCATCAAATAGCTGCACAAAACTAATTCATTATAATACAGTAGAAAATATTTTTAATATTAAAAATGACTATTTGTTTAACTTCTCCTAACATTTCCCGGGCATTAAAATATGAGCAAATTTCATGTTATTTATCATATATTTTGAATCCAACAGCAAATTCCTATTAATTTTATACAATGATTTATACTACAGAATATTCTATAAACATGTAAAATATTGGCCTTAAGACTCCATATATCATATAACGACTCATTGAAACCACTGCCAATTTATTATGTTTTGAAAATTTTTAACATTTAAACTATTTATAAGTGTTGTATCAATCACATGATTCATCATATAATAAATAATAAAATTAATCATATTATTTGTTTTACATTATTGAAATTTTCAAAACTAAATTATCAAATAAAAACAAATAAATATTCGATAACATTAAATATATTCACAAATAAAATTAACTTCAAGATTAGCAATCATGTGATACTTCGTAAAGGTTTTTATAATTATAATATATTCTAAAGAATTGATATAAAAATTGTTTTTATTATAAATAGGGTTGCCAGGTGCACAGATTAATTAATATAAAAAATTAATGTTGCGATTGTCCGGGAGAGACAATACAACATTAGTATATTCCGGTTAAATAGTAACACATCTGTCAAATGTATATAAAAATGTATTCATATAACGTATAGCAAGTAAAGTATTTTTTTAATCTAATAAGATATTAATGATATTAATACTCACTTATAATGCAAAATACTTATGTCTAATTGAATTATAACTATAGAGAGTAAGTTTTAATTATTTTTAAAATATTTTATTGTTAAAATAATCAGTAAATCTTAAGAAATAATGAGATCCGCACTCAAAGTATTGTAACAAAATATTGAGTACATAATATTGAATACCGTATTATTAATACTATATATACTGTAATAGTCAGCACATATTGTTTTGTTAGCAACTGATCCGTTATTATTTACTTAAAATATTTGTCATTTACTGAACTCAACATATATTCACATTTTAATACTTTCTTAACCTTATTTAAGATTTAGATTTGTTTTATTTCTAGACTTTACTTAATAACATAAGAAAAATTATATATATAAATTGTAACAAAATAATTGATATATGGATATTATTCAATTAAAATGACATATAATATACATTATATATATAATAACATGTATACTTAATCTTTCAATTAATAACTTGATGTTTATAAAACATTATTTGATTTAAAATTACACATTTATTATAATTTCTAATGTAAATACATACTAATAAATACTTTAATAGATTTTTAACACATTATACAATAGTATAATAATGTATAGTATACAGAGTATAATGTACACTATAAATATTTATTTATGTACTGTATATTGTTTTTATAGATAATTTTTTTAAACAAAAAACACTACTTTTATTCTTCTAATTAGTAAACAATAAATGTTTCGAAATCCAAATGATTTAAACAAATTAGAAAATAAAGATATCATTAGTTATTATAAACCCCACTCCTTTCCTCATCTCTCTCTCTCTCTCTCCTCTCTCTCTCTCTCAAACACACACTCACTCACTGTCGATGAGCTAATGATTTACTAAAGACATCATTTGAGTGTCTTTTATGAAAACAAATAATGCATTTTTGTGTTAAGGAAAACCTAACAACAGACTATCGATACATAAAATAGACTAAAATATGTCAGTTTTGATCACTCAAAATGACAACAAATGGCATTTTGATAAATAATATCTATTGAATAAAATATAACTCATTTGTGGTCATAAAGAAAGAAAAAATAGTAATAGAGTAAAAAAGAAAGTAAAAAATAATAGAAAATTGAATTTTAATTCAAACAACAAATAAATTTATATATAATATTAAAGTATTATAAAAAAAAGTTTAGCTCTAAAATAATAATAAAAGTTTTGCTAAAACTCTGTCTTATTCTCCTATAATTGTATTCTCAAAGCAATTAATTTTATCCCAAAAAGCTTATCCTTCGATACGATTCTTGATTTAATATAAAATCGACACAAAATGTTATATTAAAAGCAAAATAAAAATAAAAGTTATAACAAATATTTAAAAAATAAAAACTGAATTTATATTTTATATATCAATATATTGTGTAAAAGAAAATAAGAAACGAATTGTGTATATAAAAAAATTATTAGAAAAAATGAAAAATCAAATTGAGTTTGAATTTTATTTGATTGTCACCAATAAATTTATCCTATAATGTATTTGTTTCTCTCATATAATACAGGCCTTCAAGGGAACGGTATGGTTGTTAAATTCAATGCCGACGGGGATGCGCCGGGAAATTATGATATATTTCAGTACCAGAGAGTTAACCGCCGGTCGCATAGTAGACGCTCTCACGACTCAAATCACGACAGCTCTGGCTATGACTATGTGGCTATCGGGGAGTGGGCTAATGATAGGTATGAGCTAACAGTTTGTTTTAAACAATGCTTTTTACACACATTTTTGTGAGTTTATGCAAATTTCTTGATGTGAATTCTTATGAGAAATCATTATTACAATGATTTTAATGGTTTTCACGGACTCGTAAAATATTTTTTTAAACAAAACTTGTGATTAAATTCATGAATAAATGCTAAATTTATTCGGAAATTATTTTTATTTAAATTTTCTGTACTCAACAAAAAAAATACATTTAATATTACAAATATATGCAAATACTTTAGTTATAAAAAAAAGTATTTTTAAACAAAAGACAAATGTGTTTAATCTATTAATGAATACAATTATATATTTTAGGTTAAAAAGTGCGGTAATAATAATAATTATCATAATAACTATAAACAATAATAAAAGGCTAAAATAGTTTTTTTTTTCAACGAACTCATAACAATTTGCGAACAATTTAATAATTAGGTATCGAAAACAATAAAATAAATATTAAGTATATAATAATTAATCAGTAATTTAAAAAAAATATTTAAATTTTTTAATAAATATTTATTGTCTTACAGTTAGTCGTCTATCTTTACAATTGGGACACGAGTTGTGAGTCTTGTCCTGAGCCCAGACCTCCAAACAATTGAAATGAAACAAATGATTACAACTTAATGTTAATCTTTCACTCATTGTTTGGAAACCATTGTTACAAATACCACATTTAGATGGATGTGATTGTCCGTCGTTTTTGTTGTCAATTTCTTCTTCATTAAGTACTTCTTCGTCAATATATTCGCTAATTTTGTTAATTATTTCAACGATTTTAAGTCCATTGAAACCTTTTGATTGACCGGAATTGACTAACTGTTCCCTTGTTTTGCGCATCGATTCAATCAAAATATCGTCCGAAAGTTTCGGGTATTTGGTCTTCAATTTATTAAAGAGTTTCAATTGTTTTTCTGTCAGCGACGACGTGTCACAGTTGCGGCAACCGGTCTTATTGTCCACCGATAAACAACAGTAATACGAATGGCCATTAAAACTACGTTGAAATTGTGACCTAAAGTAAGTATCTCTCGGCGACCACATGCGAGGCCACGGCTCGTGTGTCAAAGGTTTGTTGATTAAAGATTGGTTTAATTGCCAATTGCTTGAATAACACGTGTCGGCAGACGGTATGGCCAGTGAACTGCATTTGTAGACATAATGGTCGCTATCGTTGGGTGAATCCATTGGTCACTTCGGGACTTTCTTTCAGAGTCAGTGTCCACGCGATAGTAAGTCAACAAAAATGGTTACAAATTAGCGATAATTTTGTGTTTGCTTTCAATCAAATGCTTTGTATTTTCCAATCAATAGTGAAATCAATTTCTATTTAATCATTCAATGCATGTATTCATCACTTTTTATTCACAAACAACGTAAGCATTCAATTGATTGAAATATAATATTCAAAATATTTATTAAAAGGGCACTAATATTAGCCAAATATATCAAATAAACATTATGTGTATAATATACTGTATAATGAATTTTATATAATTATTTTAATACAGATTTAAATTTTTTAAAAAACTTTAGGCTATATTTAAATTAAGTTTATATACTAACAGCAATATTAATGTAATATTTATGGCTATTGATTAGATTCATATAACAATATATCGATTTTACAGTACATGTAATGCATTTGTTTTACTACAGTAGTGTACACTTAAATTTTAGTTTAACATTTGATGATTAAATGTGTGAATTAACCTAAAATAATATTAATACTACTGTACTGTATATTATTGTTGGTATTTTAAAAAATACTATAATTTCTATATATTTAATCATAAAATTTTAGTTTTAGTTATAATTTGTAGTAAACTGATAGTACAGTAGTATTGACTTCCTTTACAGTATATGTTAATATGTGTAAAGGTATGCAACGAAACAGACCATAAATGAGTGATGCAAATACAGTAGTCGTTTAAATTAAGTCAAAACGTGAGTTAATTTTTGTGTATCAAATGTATCTAATCTGTGGATCACATTATATCTCAAATACTGGTATATTCAGTATTAAGCCATTTGTGAAATTCATTAGAAATAAAATTATCAAACAATTAAGGATAACTTATCATATTATAAATGTATCGATAGTATCAAAAATGTAAATAATTTTATTTTTTATATTATATGTGTAATACAGTAGTTAGAGATCAAGCATTAAAACCAAAGAATATTTTTTATGTAAATTCCCACCAATTTTACTGAAAACAAGGAATTCATTTATCTTTGAATTTTTGAAAGAAATACTTGTAATTATATTTGCTTTTTTAATCAAAGTTTAATTGAGTAATTTTTAAATCTTTTAATAAACCTTTTGTTAATTATTAATTTATGATTCATAAATCTAATAAAATCAAATTTAATTGTCAAATGATTTTAATACTTACTACTGTCATATGTGTATAATAATGCTTAATAAATATCTATTGATTAAAATAAATTATCTGTAAGTTTTACGGAAAAAAGGAATATATTTTTTGGGAGAGATCCTACAGAACCCTAAAATTAGTAAATTTAATAAAATAGGATATAATTTGATGCATGACTTATATAGTAGTTGTTTAATATTAATTAATAATTATAGCATACTTTACATATATTTACACGTATTTTGATTAATGCTTTTGATTATTATTTAACGTTTACTGTGAATTATATTTTAGTTAATAATATCCTTACTAAATAAAGTATTTTTTAAATATAAATAAATACTAGTTTACTGTATAAAACATTTAATTGTTTAATAAATTATAATACATTTTATAATTGTTTTTGATTATACTTCACATTATCCATTGAATGAATTTTCTCAATTGTTTTTAAAAACAACTTGTAATTAATCAATTGAATTTGAAACTATAATTAATGTCACGAAATATTCATTAATATCCTGTTATTAGTATTATAAATAACATTTAATGACTGATTGTAACAAATATTTTACTTATCATTATTTAATATTATTATTATTTAATATTTACTTTAACAAATAAATAGATTTAAACATAAAAATTAAGGAAATTTCAATATTATATTATTTAATCTAAAATAACAGATATTTTTAATTTAGAAATAATATTTTCTAATAATATTGAAACAAATCAAAAATAGTTTAATGATACTATAATATATAATTTGCAACAAACATATGTACTATATATTTAAAACTCTTAATCAAAAAATAATAAATATTTGTTAAATCATTGATAAGATTGTTTTAATGGTCATTCAGTATCTCATGTTTTATATCTACCATCTCTTGACTGGTCAATCATAGCAATGATATCGATCTCGACTCAAAAGTTTTTTATTCATTTATTTGTCACAAAAACACTACATTTTTCAATGATTTACCGAATAAATGATTTATGTTTGCAATGAATTGCACTTAAAATCCAATTCAAAATGAAATCATTGCGTGACATCAAATGTAATACAAAATTGTTTAAATGTGTTATTATTAAAGATTAGAGAAAAGACTTACTATAGATAATGATATTTTATTTATTTTTAATATTACTATTTTTATTGTTAAAAGTAATATTTGATAAAAAAATTTCTATTACTTATATATATTATATATATAGATTGACGTTTGATTTATCGCACTTCAAATGGTATACCCGAATGCGGTACTACCGAAACTTAACCAACACGTGGGTCACTGATCTGTCGGACACTGTGACGGTTCCCATATCTGCTTGTAGTCTTGCGTGTGCTGCGGGACAGTACAGACAATACCACGAGTCCAACACGTGCTGCTGGCACTGTACGACGTGTTTTATCGATGAATACGTTTATAATGAAACCTATTGTATGAAATGTGCCAAAGGTTTTGTACCGAATGAAGATAAGTCCGGTTGTGTTAAATTGCCAATAGATTACATGAAATGGGACAGTCCGTGGACTATAGTTCCCGCATCGTTTGCATCCCTCGGCATATTTGCCACACTTTTCACAATTGCCGTCTTTTTGCGTTTCAATGATACGCCAATAATCATGGCCTCGGGTCGTGAACTTTGCTATATATTACTGTCTGGTATTATGTTGTGTTATGCCATGAGTTTTGTTATCCTATCGAAACCGACACTCATTACCTGTACGATCACCCGAATCGGTCTCAGCCTTGGCCTATGTATATGCTATTCGGCAATACTAACCAAAACCAATCGTATATCGCGTATCTTCAACCGTGGCATCAAAAATGGTATGAAAAGGCCATCGTATACGAGTCCGCGCTCGCAGATTGTCATTTGCATGTGTTTAGTGACTGTCCAGTTAGTGTTTATCATTGCGTGGATAATCCGCGACCCGCCCAGCATTAAGGAAGTCATATATAATCAGACATTCAAGCCGTTTGCTGTCCTCCAGTGCGGTATATCGAGTGCATCGATGGGTGTATCTCTGGTCTACAATAAACTACTAATTATAATGTGTACGACCTATGCATTCAAGACACGAAAAATACCGGAAAATTTTAATGAAGCAAAATATATAGGATTTACTATGTATTCGACGTGTATTGTTTGGCTCGCTTTCATTCCCATCTATTTTGGCACTAATAATGACTTTAAAGTAAGTATAAGTTATATTATATTTAATACTTTAAGTTATATAAGGCATAAATATATATAATATTTATTATATCTATAAAGACATTTCATCTCATGTTGTATTAATATACCGGTGCTCTCATTGATAAGTGTTTGTACTCTACTACTAGTGATATAAAAAGGTTGTGAATTAATATTTTATAACAATAACAACGACAACACACAACCAATATTATATTTTTTGACAAAAATACATTTTAGAAAAAATAAATAAAAACACATATCTATCAAAAACAGATATTATGAGATGATTTAATGTTGTATTGGATGAGAGAGAGAGAGAGAGAGAGAGAGAGAGAGAGAGAGAGAGAGAGAGAGAGAGAGAGAGAGAGGGAGAAACATGGTTAAGATCGTAATACTATGAGTAAAATTATATGACATTTCATAAATTATCCATTGAATAATGCATTATAAATATTGATATTCCTATATCTATTATCATAAGCAATGTAATGCATATTAAAGTTTACATACAAATATAGTACTTTAATAGTACTGTAGTAATGTTATACAAATAATTTATCAGGGTATTTATTACAAATAATTATAATAATATACATATAATTTAAAAGTAATTTATGAATAAAATAATTTTTATTGGGAAAGGTGTAGAAGCTTATCATTTTTTATTGAAAAAAAATAAATTGTTTATTTAAAAAACTATAACTATATTTATGCAAAACGCCCTAAAAACTAAAAAAAATTATATGATATTTTATTTGAATTATAGTAATATTAAATCTTTACAATTTTATACACTATTAATACTTTCAATTTATAACATCATTTTATTTATGAAAAGTTGTTTAAACTTTATTGTGCACATTTATAAAATAGCTAATATTTTTTATAAGAAATTTTATTTTATAAAAAAATAAGTTTAATATATTTGAAAATTGATTTATCATAAATTTTATGTTATGTCTTAAGGGTATATTGTATTAAATGTCAAATATTATTGAAAGATTTTTTTATAGAAATTAGTAGTCATTATTTTAATGTTTATTATTAACTATAATTAATTAAAATTTTAGATTTATAATTTATTCTACTAATTTAATTATCTTAATAAATTTGATTTACAGTAAAAGTAGTAATAAAATTAGAGGTTATTTTTTGAGTTCATTTTATTTTAAAATATAAACTGAACAAAACATAATAAAATAATACTATAAAATTATGAGAAAATTTTGATTACATAAATGCACTGTACATTTACTAAACAAATTAATAATTTTTACAATTGCATAATGTTTTTTATAATAAATGGTATTTATTTAAATAAATTTTTATTATTATTTTCTATAAAAGTTTAAAACATTAATTTAATCATTAAGTTTACCAATGGTTTATGAAATAATATAAAACTAGAAAATTATTAATTAATTATTACGATGACTGAATTTGATGGTAACTAACTATAAAAATTTAAAGTGATTATCTTAATTCAATAATATACTTACAATTTATGTTTGCATTAATTATATTGAAAACTTTAGTTTTGCAAAACAAAAGTATATTTTTAATAATAAATAACATACGAAATCATAAAAATTTGCATTTTATATGTCAATTGTGATCACAAATGAATAGATGTAATGGAAAAGTCTTTTTTGAATGTAAAACGTGACGTGTTTTTGATATTTTGATGCAATTCCTTATTATCAATGATAATGATTATTGTTATTTGTTGTACACTATATTTATGATATCATATCATATCCTAATTTCATTCATATTATAGCACAAGACATTAACTGTTATGTAATAAATTATAGCATTAGTTTCCATAACTATTACTTTCATTTACTTATATAATACATCAATAAATTTATATTGAAATTATAGGAAAAACTTTTCTTTGCTTTATTTTCAAATAGATTTCTCTTTTCGTTGAATATAATAGCAAATAAATAACTGTATGATTAGTAAACATAACTCTTAATAACTTAGGAAATAAAGTAAATATAAATTGTCATCAATTTATTTTCAAATGTTATTATTATTTTTTATTTATTGTTATCATTAAATACAAAGGTTGACCCATTTGCCAATATTTAAACGAAATGATATTATCATTAATGCATAAAACTATATTAAACAATTGATTTATTGATTAATATATGGCTATAAAACAAACAATTCAATCTCAACAATAAATATTGACAATAACTTTCACTTTTTTTGTTTCCCATTTCTATCACATTTGCACTTAAGATCCAAATAGCGAGTCTCTGTATGTGTCTATCCATCAGCGCAACAGTAGCCCTGGGCTGTCTGTTTGTGCCTAAACTGTATATATGCTTATTTCAAAGCTATAAGAACGTGCGACACGTGCCGGGAATCAATACCCAACAGAGTAACTCCACGTCCGGTGTCCTACGGTTTGCACGACCCACGTGTTCGGCCATTATTGGCGCCACAGCAATGGTCAGTGCACACCATTGCGCACCAATGATTGTGATACCAGAACCATCATCGGGTGATATGAAGACTACGTCGACAACAAACGGCGAGTGGACGTCACCCAGTGCTGAGGAAAGTGCTGATGAAAAAGAGGAAAAAGAAAAATATATTTAAATTTGTTTTAATCATCCGATTAAATATTGTAATGTCTCTAAATTTTAAATTATAAATACAACAAATAAGACATTAGATAATTAAATAAGTGATAACTATAACTAACAAATTTCGGGAACTAAAACTGTTAAAATTTATCGGAAATTAAGAGATAAATGATCAAAATTAGGAAATAAATCGTGATTTTTTTGTTATTCAATTTTAATATGTCATTATTGTTACTGTTACTTATATTTTATGCAATTATTGATAAAATAGTTTATTATCGACTCAAACATACAATTTAAAACTTAGGATTTCTCGATTTTTGTTAGTTTTAGTCATAATTTTACTGATTTTTGTTATTTATATTTTTATTAAGTTTTATTAAGTCTCAAATTTGATACAAAACCTGCAGTAAACCCGTTATTTTCGGGAAATATAAAATGTTTGTGTGTTTAAACACATTAAATATTTTTATTACTTTATATAYATTGATATTAGATTATAAAAGTTGTTAATTTTACTAATTTACTACAAAATATCAATACTGTAATTAAAATATTTAAAGTATATAAAACTATTGCAATAGTTAGTTTTAGAGCTAAATGATCAAGTTGTATTTTTCATTAAAATTGTACAGTGTAATTTATAATAACAAAATAACATTATCATATTTTTATTTGTTTCATTTTTAATATTTCATTAATACTGTATAATTATTAAATAAATTTTCACAAAGTTTAAAATAAAATCACAATTTATATCATTTGTAAGAATAAAATAAATAAATTGTTTTAAAATGATATTTTGCTAAATTATTTATTTATTTATTTATGATAATAATAGTAATAATAATAATAAGTACAATAATTATACTGAGAAATGATAAATATTTAAGGAAATCTCATACTGTGTTGAATTAAATTAATATAAATGAAATTTATTTTTAAATCATTTATGATTTTTTTTCAAAATAAATTTTATGAATATATCTACTAATAAATTTTTAATTTATAAATAATTTAGTTTATTTCTTCTACTTTAATAATTTATAATATTTTGTAAAAGTTAATTAATAATTATAATGTACAATTTAAAAATTTAGTTAATTCAATAATTTATTTGATTAATTTATTTATTAAATTACAAACTTTACCGTAATTGTGTAATCTTTATATTGTATTTAATTTTTAAATTGATATTAAATATGATATTACTTCTATAGAAATACTTAGAGTCAGTAATATTTACATTTTTTATATTTTTGTAATAACAATAAAAAAAATGTATTAATAAGTTGACTAAAGTAAACTAAAAAATAATTTCAAGCTATAAGTGATATAAGATTTGTAACAATAATGAGCTGAAAACTTATGATATGTAATATAAATCAGAATTAGCTTTAATTGAGACAAATATTTGATTTACTTTAACAGCAATTCATAACAATTTCAAAAATGTGGTCACTTTTCATTGGACACAATCTGGACAACTAATCACAACATAATTATATTATAGAAATTTTTTATTAATTAATTCATTTCACTTACATTATTGAAATGTTGTCACTAAACCAATAATGTGCAAAAAAATGATACGTTAATTAAAGTGTAGGTTTTTAAAAAGCATTGACATTTTGGTACAATAACTGTAGTTTTCAATTACCGCACAATTAATAATTATCGACAATTAATTAAAACTATCAATATATTAATTAATTAATTCACATTAGTTTTATTTTTGCATATATAGTACAAAATCTTATTGTTTGTCTAATAGTCTTATTTATCACATGCAATATAATTATTATATAATTCAATAAATTTATAATTTTTAATATAATTAAATTTCAATTAAATTTTTGTTAAAAAACAAATTTAGACCAAAATTTAGTAAAAAAAATTATAATATATATAATGTATATTTGCAAACAAATCAAATCTATTTTAGTTATTTGTGAGATAAAGATCTTCAATGAGAACACTTCCAGAGATGTCAGTCTGAGTGCTCATCTCACTAGTTGTACGAAAATTGTTTGTCGCCTTAAGTATAGACTCTTCGGTAATAGATTTGACGCAACAACCGGCCGATGGATCTAATGAGTTGACGAGTGAGAAGAGACCGGAATATTGTGACAAAACATTACTGAATTGGAAGTTATTTTTGATGTCATCGAAAATTAGTGACTGAAAGTTAGAGTCAAGAATCGTAAACCATTCATCATTTGTGGCCGACTTATTGGTCCAAACATCGGACATCCGATCCATAGCTTTCGTGAGATAATCATTCAATTTGGCCAAAACTTCCGGCAATGGCTTCTCGACAAACATTTTGCGTGTCTTTTGTTGAATAATACAACACTCGTGTTGACTAACTTTTGGGTCAGAAATTGATGAAACCATGTCTTTCGTGACGTTTTGTTTTGTCTTAACTGCAGATTCTGTTAATAATTCACTTTCCGATTGTTTTGGAGAAACAAGTGGTGACAAAACAGTGGCCATTTGTGACTTAGGTTTCGGTGATTTGTCCATCAAATCATTGGTCTTCGGTCGTCTGAGTTGAACGGGAAATACCGGTAGATTTGAAGACATTACCGGCAAACGTATACTCACTTTGGGATCAATTTTAATAATATGTGATCTCTTAACTTCATTTTTGGTGAAATCAATGTCTTCGTCGTCGTCCACAAAGATTTCTTCATCTGATTCATGCTTTTCAGATACAAAATCTTTGATGTCATGTGTGTCCAAACATTGCGTCGATTTAGTTATAAATGAATTCCATTGATTGTCTGTTGATTTGTCCCCCATTTTCGGCTTTTGTCCGCCAAATATCGGTGAAGAGGACGGCATCCGAATCATAGCCTCGTCTTCGTCCACGTCTTTCATCGACCATTTGTTGTCTAATTGTTGGTCGTATTGATGGTCAACGTCATAGTCATCGTCGTCCACATAGATTTCATCGTCAGAATCGGGAAAATCATAGCCGAGATGTGCCGTATCTGACATTTTTTGGTCACTTATTGTCCGATAATATCTTGTTTTGCGATCAGAAAACTGTTTTCAATTCAATTCATTCACTAATTCAACGTTCGATTGAAGACAATGAACGACATAATCATTGATTAATTCGTAGATTACGTTAAGCGTCACGTTATTTGTGAATAGCATTTGATTTAAATAATTATTGCATTGATTATAGATTTTTAACTGTAATTAACTACTAATTAGTAATTATTAATTAATTAAATCAATATTTTTTAGCCATTGATTTAATTAAACAAATTAAATATAATTAACAAATAATTATATAAAATACATTATAAAAATTTACATAATCTCTGCAATCAATGATTAATGTATTGAATGTTTTTAAATGATTAGTAATTTTTTGTTTGTTTTACATATGAAAAAATGGTTTAATTTATTTTGAATAAACACTAAAATTAAATTTAATTATTTTTTTATATCTTATAATTACTATTATTATGATGTATTTGTAATTTTTTGTTTGGACTTTAATTATACGATACAAACACTAATTTATGCACAATCTATGTATTAATTATTGTTTTTTATTTCATATAATTAACATATAAATGAATTGTAATTATTAAATGATTCATAAATTAAATATTATCTTCAAAAAAAAACTAATAATTATGTTTTACATAATAAAACTAATTTTAATATAAATTAATAACAATTGTAATATTAATAATATATAAGATATATTAAAATATTAAAAAATAATTGCATTATTTCCTTATAAAGTAAATTTATGTTATGTAAATACAAGTCAATTAAAGTTAATAGTAAAAGTTTTTTCACATTTTAATATTTATTAGTGAAATGAGAAAAATATTTTATGTCAATTATTTAGTATTTATATATATATATATAAAGTAAATAAATAATTACAATAAAAAAAATGATATTCAATTTGAATGCATTAATGAAATGTCAATCATTTTTTTGGTGTTGAATTAAATCTATTGTTCTCAATATAGTGTATAAAAAATTCATAATTTAGTTGCCATTGAATACCGTCTATAAAAGCATTTTTAATCTGTATTTTACTAGTAATTAAATTTTGAAATATTATTTTGAAATACTTTTTAAATTTTAGTGTCAATAATTCAAATAAATAATAATTCAAATAAATAATAATTCAAATAAATATAATACTTTTTTTATTTTACTAAATAAATATTGTTAGATAATTAGTAATAATTTATTATTATAAGATAATAGTAATTATTGTTAAAAATCAATATTAAAAAATTGTATTCATAATATTAATTATAATTTATTATTAATTTTAAAATTTTTATTGTTATTATAGTTGTTTAGATTTATTTTATTACTTTAGTGAAAACTAGTAAAACTCTGTAACATTTTTGTAGTACTAAAGTATTTGGTGAAAGTTTTTTTGTTAGCAATTTTGTCATTAATTGTATAACACTTTGCTTTTCTTAATCAATGAGATTAGTTGATGAAGAGTCAGCACAAAGTCATCTTAAGCTTTACCACTCATATTGTAATGCAAAACAAATCCAATTTATTGTATAAATGTGTGAAACGATGTTTAGTTCAATACTAATGAATCATATTGTCTGAGCGTATCATTAAATGAGACATTAATTTGATTTTAATTTGTATAAAAAATCAACGTTTGAGTCAATCAAATCACAACAACATTATATTTGCTAAATATTTTAATTAATTTATTAACAATTTCTAAATAAAATCAAAATAATTAATTTAAAGTCTTGTTGTTTCGATACAAAACGTGTTAAACAAATTAATTTAATTTATAATTAATAAAAATTCAATTTTTTAGTTTTATATCCTCTAAAAATAATTTAAAAATTATATATTAGTTTGAATTTTGAAACTAATAAACATCAAAAAGAAATATTGATTATTTTATCATTAGTTTAATCTTTTTATATAGTATTTCAAATATTATCGATTTTGTAATTTTTACAGYCAATTGAATTCTTACGACTCTTGTTTTGTTCAGTCAATAAATTTAATACTTTTTAATATATAAAGACTTTAAAATAAATATGTTATTCAATTTTTTTATCTCATATATGATATAATTGTATTATTTTTTCAAAAAAAAGTTTACCAAATATTTTAAGCTTATCTTAAAATTATATTTTATATTAAACAAAAAATAAATAAAAAATTTTATTAGTCGGTTAAGTACAGTATAATAAATTATTAAATAATAAAAATATTAGTTTTTAGAGAATTGTTAATTTATTGTAAAAAATAAATTTAATAAATTGTTTTTGTGGTCTATATATTACAAAATCTAGATAAATACTGAGTATATATATATATATAACGAATTATTTATAGTAATTAAATAAAAATCTAAATATAGTTAATTTTTTACAATAGAAATGAAACAATTTTTATGGCATACATTGAAAAAAATCATTTTAAACAAAATAATATGATATCTATTGATTTAAGCTTCTCTGGGTTTTCTGTCCTCCCAATTGGTTCGGATACTCATCCACTGATCTTTAGGATAACTGATAAAATCATTGTCTTTAATATTGTAGATATAGTCAAACTTCAAGCACTCGTCATCAGTCGGCATACTTTCAGTGCTCTCCTGACTGCTCGTAGTTCTGGATGCTATCAGTGAATCCGTCGGATCTTCCAATTTGTTGTTGACTTTCAATGGTTTACCACTCTTTTTGGTGGCAATAATCACCAGAACAGCAATTATAGCTATCAGTGCCAACAAACAGATTACAGCCATAATAATCCAAAACATCGATATCTTTAACTTATGACCGGATTTGCTTTGATCAATGTCTTGATGTGTCTCAGAGTTATCATTGATCTCAAGTTTGTCCAAATTTTGTTGGAGCGGAATGTCTGAAGTATGGTTTGATTCAATGTTCTGATTCTTCATCTGTGATCCAAACAATGAATGGTTTGACTCATTTGTTTGACTATTAATGATGTGATCAAAGTCTATATTATTTAAATGAGTCGATAGGCTTAAGGCAGAGATCATCGCCAGTGATATTACAAACGAGTAAAGCATCGCTAAAGTCATGTTATCCTTATTTAAGTGATTGGATTTTTAAAAAATAATTTGATTTAATATAACAAAAAAAAACTCAATCACTAAAAATTTAAATCACGTCAAAAACAACAGTTGTTTTAAATTTTGTAGCAATAATAACATTATATTAGCGTGAGTTTAGTATACTTTTTATATTTATATAATGCAATCAATTKTTCAATCTTGAGATGTCATGAATATTAATAGATTTAGTGTTATTTGTTTTTTTTAATAAATAAATTGATTAATATTTATTTTGATAAAATCTACTCTAAAAATCAAGTATTTAATTAATTGAACATGTGTGAATATTTTAAATTTAGAAATCTTCTAAAAAGTTATCTAAAGTATGTTTTCTATAAATAGCTTTAATTCAATTATTATAGTTTTACAAACTTTTGTTTGCCATAATAACTAAAAAATAAATTTTAATAATACAATATTTAATTTACAAAAGCGATATTTAATATAATATAAAATAATGTTCTGTCAATATAATGGTTACTTAAAATATGTTTTCAAAAATAATCTTTTGTGTGACTTATGACAGAAACTGAAGTCAATTTTAAATCAAGACATCTGTTTCCACATAAAACTGATTTTGAATTTTATTCACTGTTGACATCAAATTAAATTTTTTTGTCGCAAACTATTCTCCAAATATGTCTTTTCATAGATAATGTAATAAACAGTGAATGCATTGCTTGAATATTGGTATTTGGGATATACAGTACAGTATTGTACAATATGTTCAAAATATTTGCATTATTAAAGTTCACATTATTTTTGATTATTAAATATATTTTATGTAAAATTTTTTTTATTTCTTATTTATTTATTTAAATAACAATATAGATTATAAAGCATAAGGAAAACAGAGTTTTGTGTGTAAATATAAAATTAAAATTTTTCTAATATTTATAATTTTATTATTGGATGTCTTTTTTTAGATTAGCAATAAATATTAAATATTTATATTAATATATTACACAAAATATTTTTTTATGACAAATGTCAATTTGCTAACATTTCAATCAACAATTTTTTATATTTGTTAGATATGTTTCAACTAAAGTTTTGATTTATATCAGAGGTAAATATTGGGAAGTTGTAGACATTATTGCCGATGAGTTGGACGACAATTATACACAAAATAATAACTGTAATTTATGTCCCAGTTTTTGTCATAATTTAAATAATAATATTTATCTATTTGTGAATTTTTAATACTAATATCTACATTTTTAAAAAATATTAATGTAAAAAATTGTATATACAGTACAGTAATGTTATATTTTGTTGTACAATAGTACAGTATATATTACCGTATATACTGTATATATTTAGACAAAATTATTATAAATAAGAAATATCTTTTTTATAGTTATGCTTAGATATTATCAATATTTAGTTATTTCGCTATATTATTAATTTTAATTAATTATTAATTCATAATGGTGTTTTAAAAAAGTATAAGTAAAATAAATATTAAATTTAAATACAACATAAGGAAATATTGTAGTAATTTTTATTTTACTAACAAATATTTTTTGTTATTTATTATTAATACTACTGAACTTTATAAATGCAATATATATTGAAATCAGCATAATATTTGTAACATTAATCAAATAATTCTAGTGTTAATCACAATTATTTTACTATAATATTGTTATCACACAAACAGTAATTTTTGATATACAATGTTTAAACAGACACTTTGTTTTAATAAGTTTTTATTTGATAACAATATTTGTTAGGTATTGTTAAAAATAATTAAAATCAACATAGCAACATATTGTAATGTTTAGTCTATTAATAAATTGTTTAAATGCCATGTTTTAAAAAAAATATTTGTTTACATATATTTATATACAACAATTCAAATAATATTTATTATAAATAAATACGTGTTTTTATTTGTTTATAATTAGTTATTTTTTTTAGTAAAAATGTTTTCTACACATAATTTTGTAAGACATTTATCAACTCAAATAAATGGTGTCCTATCGGGTATTAAAGTGTTAGATTTAACCCGTATATTAGCAGGGCCATTTTGTACAATGTTGCTTGGTGATTTGGGTGCAGAGGTCATCAAAATAGAGAAACCGGGCGTTGGGGACGACACACGTCGGTGGGGCCCACCTTTCATCACAAAAGACTTATCGTGTTATTATGTGTCAACAAATCGTAATAAAAAGGTTTTAATAAATACATAAATATTTTTTATTATTTTAGTACATTTTATTACAACAACAAAAATATTTTAATATGTAATTATTTTATTTTTTTTAAATTGAATCAAGTCAATTAATTATTAAACTAATATTTGGCACTTTTAAGTTATAATTAAATGGCATTTATTAAGTAATTTTGATATCCTTTTACACTAAAATTTTTGCTGAAAAACATGAAATTTAGTTTTTATATATTTTTTTGTAAATATTAGATTTAAAAAATTAATATATACAGTATTACTTACAAGTACTCTATTTTATACCATTTTTATATTATTATTAGTAAACATATAATTAGTGTCACAATAAAGTGGTTCAACAAAAAAAAGACTAAAAAATAATTCTATATATTTAATCAAAAGATAGTATTTAATATATAATTGTGTGTGAAATGAAACACATATTATTAAAACAGTTTGAAAGTATAAATTACTTGAGAAATTGAAAAATAAATTATTAGTTTTGTGAAATAGATTGGTTCTCTCTCTCTCTCTCTCTCTCTCTCTCTCTCTCTCTCTCTCTCTCTCTCACTTTATTTCTCTATTTCTTTATTTATCTAACTATTTTGTGGTCTAAATTATTTTTTATTTAGATAAATGTTTTATTAATGAATTATTATTTAACAATTTTAAAAAATTAGTTGATATCATATAAACATTTTGTTGTTAACATATCAAACATATAGAGCGTTGCTATTGACTTAAAGAAGCCACGGGGCAGACAATTATTGCTTGATTTGGCCAAAAACAGTGATATCCTCATTGAAAACTATATACCCGGCAAACTAACAGAGTTGGGCATTGATTATGATAATGTCAAACAAGTTAACCCCAAAATAATTTATGCCTCAATCACTGGATTTGGTTCCAGTGGTCCATACGCTCAAAGAGCAGGCATTGATTTTATAGCTAACTCTATCGGCGGTTTAAATGCAATCACCGGTCCTGAAGATGGTGATCCATGTCGTCCGGGAATAGCTATCGCTGACTTAACTACAGGTCTCTACACTAAAGGTGCCATATTATCGGCACTAATACACAGAGAAAAAACAGGAAAAGGGTGTAAAATTGACACAAACCTACTGTCCAGTCAAGTAAGCATTTTGTCAACTGTTGCTTCAAACTATCTGAATGCTGGTCTTATACCTCGACGTAGAGGTACAGCCCATGAAAGCATAGTTCCTTATCAGGCATTCAAATGTAAAGATTCAAAATATGTAACCATTGGTGCTATTAATGAACCGATGTTTCAAAAATTGTGTCAATTGATTGATTTACCTGAAGTGTCAACTGATCCTAAATTTGCATCTAATGCTAAAAGAGTTGAGAATAGAGTGCTTCTCATAGGTTTGATTCAAGAGAGGATCCAAACCAAAGAGTTGACGGAATGGCTCAAAGTGTTTGATAACAGCGGCTTCTCTTACGGACCAATCAATGACATCGACGACGTCTTTCGTAATGAACAAGTAGTTCATAACAAATGTGTCATTGATTTAGTGACCACCGATGGCACCGAAATTAAATCATTATCACCAGCTGTTCAATATGACAGTGAAAATAGTGATATATTGAGACAACAATTCATAGCACCGCCACTACTTGGAGAGCACACTCGGGAAGTGCTTAAATCAATACTTAATTATAAAGACACAGAAATTCAGAACTTAATTAACCAAAAAGTTATTCAATAAATATTTAATATATTATAAAATTTTTGTAATTTTGAATATACGGTACATATCGCAAATAAATGTCAATTGAATATCAATTGAAACTTCCGTTAACACAAAATTTTAAAAATTTATTTATTTTTCTATTTATTTTTATAAAATTATTAATATACTTTAATTAAGACATAACTTTAATTTATAATCTTAGAACTATAATTAATTTTGTAATTTTTATGATTACTGCACGTCGTGTTTATTATGCTAAAAATAAATACACTACAAAATTATTATTATTATAAATGTAAATTTTAAAAATAAAAAGATATATAATTATAAGATGTTATAAAATTATTATTTTTATTGATATAAATTTATTATTATTATTATTACTATTATTATTATGTCTGTTTTGTGTTTGTTTTGTGTGTGCCCTCAAAAATTCAATGGCTATAGTATTAGTGATGATGTTTTTCAAATAAATCAAAACATAAACTTTATTTTTATTTACTGATTTAATTTGCTAACAAATATTTATTTGCTTTACATTATATCAAATAATATATTTATATATACATTGGAATGCAAAATTGTAAATAACAAATTATTTATTTATTTATTTATATAGTTGAAATAATTTTCGACTATTATTGATAAACATATAATAATATTTAGTAACATAATTATACTATAAAATAAAAAATTAAGTCAAGTTTTTTTTTCTTTTCACACAACAATCTCGACATAGAAAAGGTTATTGTAGTTCAAGTGTTTTTAATTTGAAATTTTTTTATCTAACATTAAAATTCTCATAAATTATATTACAATCAATAGGAGTCAACAATTTTCCTCTTGTATTGTATGCCAACACAAATAATAGAGTTTAAAAAAGGGAGAGACAGTTATGTCAAACCTATTTCTTAACCGATTTTATTTGACTGATTTTTTTTTGCTGACTTTTTACTCAGTTTTCTTAAGGATTTTCTCATGAGATTTAAATCAATTGGTCGACATTATTGCCATTTGACGGCTAACTTTGAATAGCAGACAATTTTTCTCAATTGTATTGCTAACACCCAATTGAAAGGACAGTTAGTTTAACTTTTTTTTTTGTTATCAGCCACTCTTGTAATAGTAATAATATTATTAATAATACGGAAGTGATTATTATGTATTATAATGTATATACAACTGATTTGAATTACTTTCTATAAGACATTCAATGATATTTCATTTTGTTATATAAAATGCTTAATTAATTGTCTGTAGGGATGAAGTACTGTATATACTAATACTTATGACTAATATTTTTTATTGATGTTATAAAAATTATTGTTTAATAAAATACATATTTATTTTGCTTTTGTTTATTTTATATAAGTTAAATATTATTTTAAGTTATAATAAAAAAAACTAATGCGTTAAAAATATAATTTAATTCAATTGTTGCAATTTCAATGGTCTATAAGTATTTAAAAAGTTATATAAATGCTTTATTTTAAGCTAATTATATGTGATATATAAAGTATTGTTTATATCATTACGAACTATTAATAGAGACAATTATCATATTATAAATAAAATATTTTTTTATTAAGTATTTTTATTTATTGTTTTATATCAAAAAAAAATTATTTTGCATTGTTTGCAAATTTTATTTATTTTAATTATCTAAATTATTTTAATTTAAATAATAATACATAGTTTATTGATTCTAAAATTTTTTATAACTATTAAATTTATTATTTTTTATCATATCACTGATTCAGATATTTTTATATTCAATAATACACATTGTGTGCACTATAATTGTTATGAATTTATAATGATTTTCAAAATAATGGGTTTTATCTATCAGTTAATCTAAGTTATAAATGATATCCCTTTTGGCACTTTCCATATTTGTAAATACATTATATATTTTTTTAAATTTTTTTGCAAAAGATTTATGCAAATTAATCAAAATTTTATCAACATTTATTTCTATTATTACTCCTATTATTGCTTTTGATTGTATAAATCAGACAATTAGGCCAAACATAGACCAAAACAACAAATATTTGTCTTATAAATAAAATCTATACATCAAAATTTATATGCAAATGATATACCGGTATTAGTCATATTAAATTATATATTTAACTTACAAGTTATGAGCTAATGAGTTAGTACAGTACTGTATATAAGATTTATTGAATGGCACTTAACATATTAATATATGTTGTGGACATTTGACTGATTATGCATAAAACTATTGAAATTGTTTAATATTACATTTATGTGTTGTTAACAAATGTTATATAACGTCCACAAAAACATTTTGATGACAAATGTATTATTAATTACAAATTTTCATTTAGAAAATTATACAACTCTTGAAGCATATAATATAATATATAATATAATGAAAAATATTGATAGATTATGTCTCCAAAATTTATTATTATATTAATATAATTGTTTATCTCAGTTACAATAAATAACATTGCAATGAGGTTATGAATCATTTTTTAATTATAAAATTATACAATCCATTATATTACAGTATTTATTTTATTAATATAATAATTTAAATATTCATAGCTATTGAGTCGAGATTATTGTTTTAAAAATATATAATACAATTACATAAAAAATCTTGATTTTACTAATAATTTGATAACAATAGCTTATGATTTAGTAAATCAAATAAACCATTGATATCATTAATATCATCGATTAGATCTCAATGTTTAGTGATTGATGACATTATTAATTAATCCAAAAAATTAATAATTTTCAATTTAAATACAGGTTTTCATTCAATTTAACTAAAATGTAAATTATATGTATTATATATTTTTTAAATGATAGACATATTGCTGAAAATGGGTGGATATAATTTATCATAACTTATCATACATATAGTGATTTGATGTAAATTATACTTATATAATATTTTATAAATTACTAGTAAATGTGTGTATGCTTATAGTGACTTTAAATCAAATTAAATTTTATTTTGTAAAATTTTCGTTTAAAATTATTCATTTTAGCTCATAAACAGTATTATATTTTAAACAATAAAAAGATAAATAACAAATTTCTCTCGTATTACAAAAAAAAAATTTCAACACTTTTACCAAAACATCAAACAATTTTTTATTTCATTTTATCATAACTTATATTTTTTACAGATAAGAAATGCATACGATTTATAATATTGTGTTAGGATTTCAAACAATAAACAATTGAAGGCTTTTATATTATAACCAACTTTTGGAGGAACTTATTGAAAATATAGATAAAATCACTTAAAATCTCACCAAAAAATATTAGTATATTTAAGACTCTCTCTCTCTCTCTCTCTCTCTCTCTAAAATAATTGCAGCTATGAATGATATCTGGGTTATGACCCCAAAGAAAGTTTTCAAGAAACCTTTTATTTTAAGAAAAACATGGATTATTTGTCTTTCTTTGATATATATAAAAATGATTGTGAAAATCACATTTATTTTTAAGTAATTTTGGTATAATATTATATGATATTATTAGTAGACGTATCTTACTATTATTATCCATTTTCTGTAACCAATAATTTATTTGAATTTTTTTTATATATAAGTAAAAATAAATTATAAGTCACTTATCATGTAATATCACTTTATAGTTACAATTATATATATATATATATATATATATATTGTATATATGAGAAAGATATAAAAAGTGGTGAACAATACTCTATGAATAATCAAGTGTTTGAAAAGTCACGAAAACTGGAGGTCTTTTTCAGTGACTTTTACTTAATTGGAGTTCACTTTTGCAGTCAATAGTAATTACACAGAAGTGTTGTGTAAAACAAATTGCAAAACATGTTGTCATTGATATCATGTGTTTGTCTCAAAAAATTTCATTCAAAACTATAATCATCGTTAAACATGAATTGTTTTATAAATTAATGCTTTCAAATACAATGTGTCACTTTGTATGATATTAAATATGTGAAAACATTGAAAAATTAAGTTTAAAAACATTTTTTTTATTTAAAAAACAGTAATATATGATAATATGTTTCTTACATATATCAAGACATTTATATTGTTATTAATAATTTCATAAATTAAATTATATATTAAATTATAGCTATGAAAAATCATAGTAACTTTTTTTGATAACCAAAAAAACAGTTGCTTACAATTTATACACAGGTATATCATTTATATTATGATACTATATGTGTGACCTCTTTATGATATCGTAATACTTTATATGTGATGCTATTATGACTAAACTTAATTAAATTTGCCAAAAAGGTATTTAAATTATTATAATTTCTACGAACACACTTTATATACTGATTTTATTTAAATTGTTTACTGATTACAGGTATTAATTTATTTTGTAAATTAATTTTTAAAACATTTTTTAAACTGTCAATTAATATTATGACTACTTGAAAAACTTTAAAAAAGAGAACAAAAATAAACAAAAAGTTTGAAAGAAATTAATACATTTATAGTATAATACTATAAATTGTAGTATTTTAGTAAAAAGTTTCATTTTTCATAATTATTTTAAAAAGTACAGATAAGTTATATTAATAGTAATAGTTAAAAACTTTTCTAATGCAAAATTTTTTGGCTGAGAAAGAGAGTGTATGAGAGAGAGAGAGAGAGAGAGAGAGAGAGAGAGAGAGAGAGAGAGAGAGAGAGAGAGAGAGAGAGAGAGAGAGAGAGAGAGAGCTTAATCGAAGAAATAGGTTAACATAACAGGAGGTAAATATTAAGACACATGTTTGTTGCTTATAATAAAAAATATCAGTTGTATTATTAAGATATACCTATAATTTTGTGTAACAATTGCTATACAATAGAAAAAGTGATTCTCGATTTTTTTTAAAAATAAAAAATGTATTTCTAAAGCATTTTTTTCAATAAGTAATTTATAAAACCTCTGTAACCAATGATTATTAACTTTCTATTTAAATAACTCACTCAATACAAAACAAGAAAAAAATGTTTCAAAAATCTATAGCAAATCAA